GGAAATCTCTCGGTCGCATTATGCAGCTTCTACACCCGCCCGTCCGCGAAATCTCTTAAGCGGCTGCCAATTTGAGCCGAATCTCGAAACTTCAATCGCCAGCATCAACCCCCGAGCACTCTGTTCATCCCCCCCCCCCCCCCCCGTTCCCTCTTCTTCCCTCTCCAATCGCTCCTGAAACACGAGCCGGTTGCTCTCTGAAAGAGCTCTCGATGTAACCTCGTTATAGCGGCACGTCATGGTCTTTTTGTTCCGCGATCTTTTCTCGCTATATATTTAGCGAGACAGACAATCATCTTCCACAGACATTGAATATTATCCTCGTATTAGGGAGATAAGACTCAGAATTAGAAGATCGCTCTTGGAACTAAATATTTGATAAAGACAGATATACACAGATTTCCTTTCTCTCATTGTTTGACGAAAGTCTCTGATCTCATGTTAATCAGCAAAGGTGTTTTACTTAAAACAGCTTCTAGAGAGATTTCTGAATTTTATTTTTCAACATTATCTTGGTGAAGATTTTAAATCACGCATACATTTAGGTTTTCTAAATATCTCGATTTTAAATATTTTATCACTGAAATTCACGCAACGGCAATTCCCGTTAATAAAATTCTCAACCGTGCACTTAGCCTAAAGGAGCAACTTTGTGCGAATACATGCCAGATACGTGCGGCATAATAGGATTTCGCTATCCGCAACGATTGTGACTATCGACTACACGCATATTCCGCAAATATTCGGACGCCTCTGCATTTTCGATGCGCTTCGACGAGGTGTACCGGGCGGAAGTGTGATTCGGAGCGCAGCACACGTATTTGGTCGGACCATCTAATACTCTTTATACAATATATATATATATATACATTTTTCTATTTGCCAGAAGCTATTTGACTATCCGAGGCGATACTGAAAGTTACCCTGCCCGGCGCTAATTCCAAAAATCGAGCAGAATCCACAAGCGGCAAATCGTTCGCTTTCTTTTAATAATCGTGCGTTTTTTTGCTAATGCTAAAAAAAGTTATAGTGTCCTAAGTTTTTATTCGGAGATATTATAAAAACTGCTTTACGCAATTGGAAAATTTTCCAAGTATTACAGATATTATCGTTAAGCATTTATCTATAACGACACGTGTCACGCTTTGATACAATCTCACCACTTATATTTGCAGAGAAAACGATATTATGTCATTTTTAAATGTATACAGGATATGATTGCGTTAGATAAAAGTTTATAGTTTGATTAATTTTTAGAAATATATACCGTTTTCGAATTGATACATGCGTATTGATCCATCAGTTATATTGGATTATCTTTGAATTACTTTAATTTTTATTCCGTTGATTATTCACACGCTGGTAAATTACATAAAACATTGCGTGTAAAATTAAAATCTCTGAGTAATAATAGTGGACATATGTACGTTAACGCAGGCGGTGTTTTTAAAAAATTGCCATTATACGAAATCATATCTCGTGACTTGAACGCGTATGGCGCAATTCAAACGCATTAGAGCATATTTGACCGAATCGTGATTGGAGCGTGAATGGAATATGATCATCCGTCATAACGTGAATGGAGTGTGCGTTTATTGCATAGGAACATATACTGATCTGCGCGAAGCCGTACATATATGTATATGTATATCTCTGCACCGAACGCTCTATTAGATATAAATAATAATATAATTTATACAGAGAAATCATATTTTATTAATGTATCAATATCCAATTTCCAAACTAATCCACGAGAAATATTTGTCAACAGTTTTTTAATCGTTTAAATATTTATCAGTATTAATATGAACTATTTAAAAAAATCAACATAGAAATGCGCGATAAATGATATTAAATAATTTAAAAAATACTTCTTATCTCTTCGTTATATATTCTTTCTTATAACTTATAATAAAATAAAATTTTAATATATCCCATTTTATATTCTATAGTTCGTGATTATAACATATTTATTGTAAAGGATTTTTCTGAATTTATATATCAAACGATATTTTTTTCAGATTTAAACTTTGTATTTCTAAAACTATCGATAGGTCATTCTCAATGATATTACAAAGGTGCGTAACTAAATGAAGTGTGAAGAGAAAAAGAGCATCGCGGAATGCCTTTGTCCTTCCTTATCACATATTGCGAAACAACATCGCGTCTCCTGCGTTTGACCATTTCTTTTTAATTCACGAGCGTGTACATACAACTTTTTTCATCTACCTTCTCGCCTGCGGGCGGAGACGACGACCATTCGGGGCTCTCCGAGCTTTGAGCGAGCTCGGGTTGCCGTTTGCGGCTTTCCGCTTTCTCGCGAGCCGCGAGGTGTGGCTATGCGTGGCGTGCGCGCCGCTCATTTGCGTCCATCCAACTTGGAGCCGTTAGCCGCGCTCTGCCTCTTTGCGTTTTTACCGCGTTTTTACATCTTGCTTATGCCTGTGTATTAATTATCTTCCGACCTCGGAAGAGAGAGAGGTGGTTTTTTTGATACGGTTTATCGGCGACATCGAACCAGTTGAGCCAAATGGGATTAAATAATGCTTCCTCTAATTAGCTTCGTGGATTGGATAGGAAGAAAACTCGATGGACTAGATTAAAAGATATGTCTCTTTTTAAACGCGTATATATAATGGTCGATAGAAGTATATCCCGTTTGAGAATTTTTTTTTTAATTTTGAGCAATCATCGTATTCAGATCGAAAATTGTATTTCTTCTATTATAAAGAATGCAATATCATGTTTTGTATAACTTTTATTATTTTTATTCGAAAACTCCAGATCTTTTACTAGCTGCTAGAAAATAATTTAGAAAGATTGATTTTTATACCGATCTCTTCTTCATACAAATTTTTCTACAAATTTTATGTTGAGGTATATCAAAGTGTATGTGTGAAATATTATTTAGTATAAAGAATAGAAAAGATATATATTTTTTCAGAAATATTTGTTTTAGTATTTCTTTCAATATAAAAATAATCACTATTTATAATTTAGTCTTCGAAAACAATGTGTATTTCCAGCAATTTAAACGATATTTTGAAGCAATCCTTTGCAATAATTGTGCGTTTGGATATACCTAACATTGTTCCAAGCAGATAATCAAAATCAAACCAAAAGTGTAGGCAATGCGATTACGTCAAGCGAGATACCTGATAACTCCGAATAGCACTGTTTATCATTTAATTCACGCGGCTAAATGCAAAATCGAGGATGTGTCTTTGAATCGATAAACGTGACACGTAACCCGCCAGGAAAGGAAGCGAAGAGAGGATACTCGCGTCCCGTGGCTCGATCGCGTCACCCTGGCGGCGCGGCATATCTGGTGCCGCCGCAGGAGCACTTCTCCATCCATTGGGCGACGAGCATCAATATTACCGCGCATCTTCCGGCGCGTACGTGTTTAACGTATACTTGCCGAATGCACCATGCTGATGCACCAACGCTCATAATGCGCGTAGGTACATAGCGAAAAGACGCAAAGACGGAGAGAAAGAGAAAGAAACAGATATGTGCATGGAAAAAGCGAGAAAAGTCGAGTGAAGGATAACACGGAGGGAGAGAGAGAACAGGAGGGGGGATGAAGAGAGCCGGTAAATTAGGTGGGTATATCGTGCGGTTGTGGACGAGGACGTTGGTATAGGATATATAGGTACACCAACGTGGCGGCTACTATCGCACGCCACGGTAGGAAGACTCGACGAGGCGAGCTAGAAGGGCGAAGAGAGGGATCGGCGGGAAGCGGGAGGGCGGAGGGAGTAGGCTATAAAGGCTAATTGGTTAAAAGCTCACCACTGGCTGCAGGCTTAAATCAAGATCTTGGAGTGTTATAATGGATAAGTAACACGGCGTGGCGCGGCCACCGCCACCGGGTTGTGTGTTACCCCCACACACCCCGTCGCTTGCTCCCCGCTCCCCCCGTTTCGAGCGTTCGCCACCCTTCTTTCCCTCCCGCCCCTCTCGCTCGCAGACCTCGACGTCCACGTCGCCTCGCCTCGCCTCGCCTCGCGTATAACCACCCCGTTCACCCGCCGCGCCGCCGTGGCGCGGAACGTCGAGGGCGAGTATCTTTCGAGTTAAGGACGGCGCGACCGATGCGATTGGTCCGCGGCGAGGGTTACCCCGGCGGGTAGTCGTGTGCGGCGCGAGTCATCGATCGCGCCTCCGTCCTATGAGGAATCCGGAAAGCCAACCCCTGGCAAGCCGTAGGCCCCGCCCTGCCACCTACCCCGACCGCACCGACACCCCTTCCGACAACTTGCAGCTTAGCCGTCCTCGCTCTCGCTTGCCACCCTTCCCCTCCAACTACCTTCCTCTCCCTGCTTCGCGCGCGCGTCAGCGTGCTCCCTCCTGCCATCTTCCTCTGACACCCTCTAATTTATCCGCTCGCCCCGTTCTAGCGAGCGGCGGCCTTCCCTGCCCCTCTCCCTCGCTAGCACCCCGCAGTCTAGCTATCGCGCGGCGCGCAATAACTACCCCCGTGACTCTCGAAGCGTGACTCCGAAGCGTTCTTTCTCTTTATCTTACTCCCCGCCGCCAGTTCTCCCTCTTTCTCGCCGTCGCGCCCCTCGCGCCGCGCTTCTACCCTCGCGTTCCTACTCTCTCTCTCTCTCGCCGCGCGTATGAGCGAGCGAACATACGTGAGCGCGAGCGCGCGCGCGCGTACAAGGTGTGTGCGCGTGTGTTTACGCGTTTACGTGTGCGAACGAGTCTCTCCTCGTCCGTGTGACCTGCGGTTTCTCCGGCGTTTTCCTACCCTTAGTAGCGCGAGCACAGTGCATCCATCCGCCGCGGCCCGTCACTCGCCGCGAAGCGTATCGCAGGACACGAGGGTGCTTGCGCGCCGCTCTCTTTCTAACGCGAGCGCGCGACCGAACACGGTGTCAGCGTGCGCCGACGCTCTGACGACACGCGCGCGCGAGTCGAAATTCCGACGCAACGCGACGCGACGCGACGCGACGCGAGGTGACGCGAGGCGACGCGAGCACATCGTCGGACCGAAAAAAGTCAACGTAACTCTCTTATACGAACTACAAATTCTCCGTTTGAACAGCCGAACATATATCAATAAAGCTCTTTCCGATTTTTTCGTTTCCTCGACGTCGCGCGAAAGTCTGCGATTTCGGTTTCCAACCCAAACAGGGAGATGAACCGTGTGTCACGATTGTCAACTCACCCACGGTGACGGGCCGATTCGACGTCGGTAGTCGGTTTGTGAGTGATTGGCGATCAGTGGAAGTGACCCGAGAAAAGTGACGGCACGGTAGGGCACCTCGCCTCGGTGTTACTCACGCGGGAACGCTTTACGCTTACGCCACCGCCGTCGCCGCGCCGGTGGACGGTAAAGAGCGGAAAGCGAAAAGGAGAGAAGTTACGTGTCAGACTGGAGCGGACGTGTAGTGGTGAAAAAGGAGAGAGAGGAAGAGAGAAAGAGGGAGAGAGGTGAAGACAGAAAGAGGGGGTGTGGTAGGTGGCGGAAGGACGATAGGGGGAGAGGGCGACTCCGCGAAGGGTGGGCCGTCCAAGTGTCTTGTCTCCTATCATCCTGTCGTCCAGGGTATCGCTTACGAATGTCGCGCGATCGAGCGATCCGTCTGCGATCCACGACGACGCGCGAGGACGTCCTGGCGACGGCCGCGCTTCGACTACCGACACCGACGAGCCGCGCGATCAGCCTCGTCTGAGTCAACGACAGCAACCGCGCTGGGTGCTACGTACCTGTGTGTCGTCCTGATATGCGATTGTCCGAGGTGGATAGTCGCCGGGTCGCGTCGCGCGAGACGACGGCGGGCACCACTTAACCGATACATAATATAAACGAATACCTAAGCGTTGACGCGTGGCTTCTTTCATCGGGAACGAAAGCTCCCAGCCTCGTTCGAAGAGCCGTATCGGGCTAGCTGGGCTAGCCGCGAGAGAAGTGCCGCAGCGAGAAATCTCCCCGGACGGGCCGGCTCGAAGGATGTCCGGCGAGACGGAGATAGAAGTGTCGGTTGTGTCGGAGGAGGATCTGGAGCTGGAGGGCTCCAGGAGCAGCTCCACCCCGGCGGAACTGCTGCTGCAGGAGAAGAATGGCAAGTCTGGCTGCGGCCTGAGCAATCACCACCACTCGTTCAGCTTCGACACGGTGAGCAAGCCGGCGCTCAGGCCTGCCTGCAATCCGCAGTACACGTCCTTCAGTATCTCCAGTATCCTCGGCAGACCGGAATCGCCGCCTGTCGACTCGACGACCTCCACGGGGTCCGGCGAGAGGCAGTCGTCGGACGTCGACAGGACGTCGCCGCTGCCGCCAACGAACTCGCAGAACTCGCAGAGGATCCCGCCGTCGTGCGGCAGCCCCGGAAGGATCTCGTCCTCGCCCACGTCCCTGAGACTGTCCGGCGGCCAACGCAGCGGACTGTCCGCAACCGGTCACCCTGGACTGGAACCTAGGGCGAATTCCGCGGGTATCGGTATCGGATGTGCTACCAGTGCTACCAGTCCGGCCGCGACCTTTTCACCGCCCGGCGATGCCTCTACCAATCCACTACTAGGACACCAGGCGTCGGCGGATCTCGCAATGCTATCAAGGTACGTAGCCCTGGACTCGATTCCCCGTTTTCGTGAATTCTCTTAGAGATGACAAACGAAATTTTAGTTGGCACGGATTAATCTCATCGTATTTCTAATTTTGATCAATTTCGCGAGAAGAACAGAGCTGTAGATATAAACAAAACTCTTGGACGATGAAATATCCAAGTAGCTTTTATAAAACTTCATCACTCAATCTGATGTATGTTTGATTAAACGTAGTTACGATTTGCAAAAGACGTCTCGCAAACAATTTATTATTTTAGGTACATTACGAGTAAACAAGATTATTCTCGGACATTAATATCATTATATTATATGATTATATATCGAACATTGTGAATTATTGAATGTCAAATTACGCAATTGTTATCACTCGAAAATCTATGATTTCGTCATAGTACAGCTGTGTCATGCGTGACGTAATGTCTATGAAAATATAAAGGACCGAATACCTGTTCTGTCAATTGAATGACTTTTGCATTATTTACGTATTTACGTATAGCTGGGAAATATTTTTAAACTGAATACAAGATTTAGGTGACGTCAATGAATTTTACATGCGTCGTCTGGAAATTAAAACACAGACGATATATATACCTATATATATAGAATGTATCAGATGTCTCGCACTTTTATTCGAATGCAGTTTCTAACATGCCTGTTTTCCATAACAAAAAAATTGCATATTTCCATCTGTCGCTTCAATTTTCAGCATTGCATATTTACATCTCTTCAAATCCGTCTTGCTGACGAAAAAAAGCAAAATGCATTCAAACTTTATTTGGAGGAATGAGGAATGAACTTCTCTTTTTTTGTCTCGTTACGCTTCTCGACTCTCTTCGATTCTTTTCGATTTTAATCGGTTATTGAAACCTCAAAAGCTGTTGACGCAGTCAAGAACTGTCGAAGCAATCAGTCTTCTTTTTATTTTAACTTCAAACGATCGCGATTTCCATGACATCCTGTAAGTATACATAACATAATCGCGCGAACCAGTTTCTCGGTAGGGAGCTCGTGAAAGTGAAGCCCGCGCGTGTTTCTAAATTCATTCATTAAAAACGATTAACGCTGGAAGCTTTGCGTCATTCCCGCGGATGACGTTTTATTCTCACGAACGTTTTTTCTTACGCGCGTCACGGAAATGAAACAACGTAGCAATATCGATTTTATAATAATGCAATACTTTTTGCATCGCGAGAATACTTTGCGTTACAAACACGTGTAGGGTGTACGTCATTTATTCGCGTACGCGACGCACACATATACAATTACATTAAACTCACAATCAGTCAGATACGGCAATGTGACCTTCGATTTTGTAGGTTGGTGCCGCCAAAATAACTGGCCGAAATTTGAACCTTTATACTGATCGGCGATCGCCATTCATTTCGCCGCATACAACGGTACGTCAGTCACCCGAGTAAAATATATATAAAAACACGCGTTGATTTGTATTTATATAATTTAGTTTGTATTTATAATACGCGGTTAACAAAATGCTCCTGGCAAGCATTTGTAAAAGAAAAAAGAAAAAAAAGAGAGAAAGAGCCTCTCTACATAATTCAACGATTTAAACGCCATCGTTTAACGGCTAATTCAATGCCGTCGCCATTTAATATTAATGCAAAAGTGTCGGTAAATGGAGTTGCTAATACTTGCTAATGATTAATTAATTCGTAACATCGTCGTTATTCATATTCGCCGCTCGCGTAATTGGCGGAATTGTTGAATAAATTAAGACCGCACCCTCTCTCTCAGGCAATTAGAAACTCCGCTGCGTTAGCGTTTCCACGATAAAAACACGCATTTGCAAAGCTTTGACCCGAGAGATTCGACAACACCATTGCGATGGATTAATATCCGACTCTTCGCCGCCATTATTCGCATAATTTTATATAAACGCGTGCACGAGTGCACGAGGCCACGCGTTTCACATTAGCGTTGTATAAATTGCACTAACTGAATCACGTGCGTTAATGTTCATTAAGAGCATTCATTTAACAAAAATCGAGGGAACTTTAATTTTCACGACATGCAGTGATATAATTATCATTAAAAAAGAACTTGTAAAATTGACAAAAGAAAATTCTATTTCTATGGTGATTCAAAAATTGTAGCTCTCTCAATTTCGATTAATTCGAGAAACCGAAATTCTTCCTTAATTTCTTAATTATACAAAGATATTTAAGAAAATATAAATTTTTTTTCTAGTGGAAAGTATGAAATATCTCAGTAACAAAACTTTGTTTTCAGTTAATTTCTCGTCGACTTTGCTTTAACTAAAAGTTTATTAAAGCTTGCTCTTGTCAAGGAGCTTAAAATTGAGAATTATTAAGTCGCAACGACGATGAGTCTCCTCGACACATCTTCAAAAGAAAAATTGACTCCAAATTGTTCAAAAAAGCCCAGAGATATTTTTCGGTTGATGCGGGACACCATGTTCCACGACCCAATGTCCGCGCCCGTCAACTTAGATTACCGGGCGTAAAGGGATGTATCCAGGGTCTACGCGGCCGTCGTGGACCGAAGATTTCCGTAGGCGTGAGCTCGTCCGGATCAAGATACACGACATATTGGGGGTGGCGAAACGGTAAGGGGTAGCGGCAACGAGCGAGCGCGTGCGGTGAGGATTATATTATGTGGGAATGGACCGACGAGGGGACCGTAATGGGCCTATTAGGCTGTCTCATTTAATAACAACCGTAGCAACAACACCACCCTCTTACATTACTTACGTTATTTAGGAGGACCCCCGCGCGTTATCGGATATATCTACGAGGAATCCGAGCACGGCACTGCGCGCCGCAAAGGGGCAAGAGAAAGACTCGAGGGTTCGAGATGATTTTATCAGATTTACACCCCCTCCTCGATTGACGAGACCTACCTCCCTCCCCTGCTCCCGTCCTCGTCCTCGTCCCTGTCCCCGTCCCCGTCCGCGCCCTCGCCATGCTTGGCTGCCGGCGCGACGGCTATACGATTGCTTGTTTTCCACCCGTTTACCATTTGATTAAGTTCCACTCGTATGCACCGTTGGGGTACACTCCACTAAACGAGAAAAGCCTCGTCGAGTGGGGCCCGTCACGCAAACGAACTTATCACGGCGGATAAATGGTAAACTTTAATAAAAAGATTTTCTCTCTTTTCGCCAAAAGCATGTAGTTAATTCCATTTTCACCAAGAAATGACAATTTTGACACTCCTAAGATTATAAACATCACCCTTATGGCCAGCAAAATCCCCCAAAACGTATTTGTGAATTATTTCTGAATCTGTAAATATCTTTGTCTTCGATAAGTGTCTATCAGAAATTTATTGATTAATATACAATTGACGATTAATTCATTGAAAACTACGCAAACTAGACTCAAAGAAGATTTAATGTATGTCCGTGTAATATGCGATAACATATAAAATAACCAATTCTCTTTGAACAATGGCGCTGAAGATAACACAAATCACGCATAAATGCATGCAACTTAATGCAATATGGATATAATAACGCAACAAATTTTTAGGTAATGCACGATATAATTCGCGCATCACAAAAGGCAACGAAAGGAGGCGTGTCTCGCTTGTAATAACCGCTCCGCGGCCGATACGTAAAATTACAAATCGCATATATTCCGTTCGGATCCATTTACGCGTTTAAATCCAATTCAACAAAAAATCACGCGGCGGTATAGAATTACACGATGATCGCGCGCTCGCGCCATTTTCACGCGTACACACATACACACACATATAGGTAAAATACACGCGCGTGTCTCGGGCATAATTTCGCAAGCACGCTAATTAACTTCACTCGCAACACTGGCAACCGAAATTTGCTGCCAAAACTCGTGCGTTGATGAAAGGGAGGGATGGCAAAAAATCAATTAAATGTAGAGTGCTTAATGGCTGCGGATGAAACGCCGCGCCGTACGCGTATAGTCCAAGGTTAAGGAGCCTAAGATTCCCTCGAGAAACGGGCTACCTATCCCGCGGCCCATTTGCTGCCGAGCAAGCAGCCCTTACGTCTCTTCCGGGAGGAAGTGCGCAAGTTCTAGGCTCGATTTATTATTAAATTGCCGCTCTACGCCAGTCTGAGATTCTCGCTCGCCAAGGTCGTGGAGAGAAAAGTTGGCGTCATGCGATCTCAGCAGAGCACTATCCATCCCCTATATATAATGTATATACAATATATAACTTATAACTGATCAAATAATAATATTTCTCCGCAAGGGAGTAAGTATATATATACGCGCAGGGATTTACGCACTAAATACACCCGGTATACATGCGCGCCTTATGAAATCGTAACAATCACCTCCGACTCCTCTTTAAGAAGTCCGCTCCTCTTGAGCCGAAGAAATGTGTACCTCAGAGTTGACACGTGATACCCATGGTATTCTGAAAGTCAAACATCTTACTAAAGATGCTATCGACTCCAAGTTAATTAAAATTGTTATGCACATCAAGTTTCTAAAAAAATATCCTATATATATCTATATATCTTAAAAAGTTACGTAAGGCATCCAGAAAATTGGTGGGACAAAGTAATCAGATTTTATCTCGGGCCTCATATTCAGAAAAATTAATTATCGTTTCATCTTGTTCTCAATACATTTCGGATTCGTTTCGCGTGGTTCGTTGATCCCGGCGTGGAGTATCGCAAAAATATTTTTTGCTCGATTTGCTCGTGCGATATCGCGAGGGCTTACATTCGAAAACGTTACCGCGAGCGCGGTATAGGACCGCGAACGGAAAGATCCGTCTGATATAATCCGCGACAGAGACTACCTCGTTAATTACAGCGCTGATGAATGATTCGTTAATTAGGGTGGAATCGCGCTACAAGTTTCAAAGGAAGATACGATAAAGCCTATTGTGTATGATCGCCTATTCGCGAGCGATATGGATGTTTCGACGTTGGGAACAAATGCTCGGGATGAGCGATGGCGGCGGCCATAGGATCACGGATTGTAATTGCGCCGGAATACAATTCCCTCCGATTTCATTCGACACTGCTTCGTCTACGAAGTAGCGAATTCTTGATTAAAAAGTCATGCAAGGAGACATGGCTAACAAAACGTTAGTTCTGTCCAAAAGTAATTATAATGTAAATATATAATTGCGTATCGTACGACGATGCTATAAATCGCGTTTCTAATATAAATTAATTTCAAGAAATTTGCTCTATATTAGTTTATATCATTCGTAAAACGATTTGGAGTTGTGTATCAAAGACTATATTTATAGTAATGATAATTTTCTTTAGGATACACATATAGAGACAAAGTGTTACTGCTGTAAACATGAAAATAAATTCGTCATTCCGTCTATCGCAAGCCAATAATGTAATGAAGCCAACTAACGGATTTAGCCGAATGCTTTGAAAGCCAATAAATCGTTGTTGGGTCATTTCGACGACGCTTTATAAGATGATATAGTGTAACAATAGATTTCATCGTATTGCAATTATATGTAAATATGAGAAAAAGAGAGAGAGAGAGAGAGAGAGAGAGAGAGAGAGAGAGATAAAAATCGGATTAAAATAAACAATATATAAAAAGAATGTACAGAAGAATGCTTCTTAATTCGACGGTGTAACAAACAAAGCTTGAAAATTTATCACATCCGTTTACTTCTTTTCTCTTTCTTTCTCCTCGTTAATATTCAATAATCTATTTTCCACTGTTTTCTTTGTCCCCTTGTTGTTATTTTTCTCTGTAAAGCACAGCGTGATGATCGCATATTGAGCATACAGATTGCGAACCGCTTTGGGCGCACTTTCGCTAGCGAATGCGATCGACTTCTCCTTTCTTCGCTGCGCTCCTAACTACCCTCGGTGTAACGATACACGACGAAACGTATCGTGTTACGAGCGATCGTTAACGGCATAAAGAGTTTATATTTGAGAATGGCACTTACTAAGCGCACAAGCAGAGGTAGAATAATAATCAATACAAGCAAGCGGTAAAATACGTCATCGAAGACACGGAGGGAAAATTTTAACGGAACTGCCCAATAAAGCCAAACTCGGGCACCTCGTATTAAAAATGTGTACTTAATAAAATAAGGGTAAACGAAATATTTAAAGAATTTCTTCATTACCGCGGCAAGTTATTGCAAATAAATTAATATTCTACGTGATAAATTATAATATCAAATTCTTGGATAAATTTATTTAATTATTGTGATATTGAATTTTAGAAGATATAAATCTGATTCAAAAACTTACAGAGTAAACAAATAAGAAAGTTTATTTTGCAATTAGTTTCAAGTTTCCCTCGCTAGAAATTTATTTCGTGACTTTGTTCCAAAGATACATATATTAATAATAACTTTTAATCTCTTAATTTTATTGTCTCTTAAATATTATATAAATAATATACCTAGTATATTAAATATTATATTTATAATATTTAAGAGATAAAAAAATTATGACATAAATAAAAGTTATTAGTCATTTCCTTTAGAAATCTTTTTCCGACTTATAAATGATAAAATCGTCGTCACTAAAATTATATTATTAAATACGAAAATATTATTACACACAGAATCAAGAGACTGTACAAAACAGAAAATGGATCAAATATGAATACTCGAATGCAGTCGCCACATCCGACAGATCTTCGACTGCAAAAGAGGAACAGAAATGAAAGGCGAATTACGCGAGTCAAGTGTGTGCTCGATGACCTAGAGAGCGTTAAAGGGAGGTATCGCTGAGAAGAGGTCCTTGAGTGCCTACGTAGAGAGAACTCGTAAACTCAGCCAGCCACGTTGAGTGTTCGCGGCCGCCTAAGACGTAAGACCTGCAGAATTAGGCAGTAAAAGGTGGTGGATCTCTCCACCGAGAGAGATCCGAGTGTTTGGTGTTTATACCTGCTTCTTCAGAGAAGGGTCCCTGAATGCTTACAAAACAGGCGGTTGTCAGATTTCCTTTATCTTTTCCGGAATATTTGTGTGTGCCCCGCGGGCCGTCGTCTCTCCTCTCCCGTTAGCCGCGCGAAGCCTTCTTCAGAATACCTCGATATCTCGTCTTGATGCCGGGAAAATCGTGGGGAATTAAGGAAGAGGCCCGCCGAAGATTGCGTGTCGCTCAGGAATTCTCTTAGGAAGGGTGTCTCTTAATTCCTTCTTTACTTCGGTTCCGGACAGCCTCGTCGTCGTCATCCTTGTCGTTATACTACTGTTGTGTCGTATCTATCGCCCAACGTGACTTTCTTCTGGTGATAAACGGTTGACACGTATAGAGTCTCGTCAATGAGGCATTAACTCACATAAGCGTGAGCATCGCTGACTCGTTGATACGAGAAGATAAGGTCATTAAAAGAGAGATCGATATCCGGTCGATTCAGCGAATGCGAAGAAGAGCAGATTTCGCTCGAGATTTCGCTAAACCATTTCTTGCTTGAGGAAAGGAAAATGTTATTTTGCAACATATTTGCTGTGGATTTAATTGGAGCTCGAGCTTCTCAAGAGATAATAACATCAAGTTGCAAAATTTTTACATTATTACAAAATTTTTTTAAAAAGTATATTACAATTATCTCAGGATGAAGAGTAAAGAATATCTTTAAATATTTCGAATAAATTTGCAAAGTAAATGTTACCCGGCCATTAGATCGGCGAGGTGGAACGCTGGAATTATTTACCATATCTGTTGCCTGAACGAGCCCTAAGTGATAATAGGCGCAAAGTGCGATACGATGGCGGACAAAGTCAAATACGCTTTCACGTGGCGAGCGTGTATCGAAACGAGATCAGATCGCTCGTCGCAGACGGACTGCGACGGGGAAGCGAGGAGGGAACACGGAAAAGTAAGGCTTCCGAAGCCTCCTCGGCCCACATGCCTGACCAACCGGCCCTGCTTGCCAATATCGGCCAGTCGACCGGCAGATCCTGCTTGCCTATATTTCTGTTCACCACAAATCGGTTACTCTCGCATTAAGTTTCCACGGCGCGCGCGTGCAGCTGCAACAATGGCGCTTAGCTGCGATCGGAAATAAGAGAAAGAATTATCGGAAAAGAAAGAAAAAGAAGGAGAAAGAGAACTCTTGTTAAGCGGCTAAATAAGAACCGGAGGACAAGCAGCCATGAAGACAGATTTACTGATAAACGATCTATAGACCCTGACCGAGACAAAGCTACTAAAATCGCAAAATTTCACAGAAATTTTATTGCACCACCGTATTTTGTTTCTCATCGTTATTGATGTGTTGTATGTACATTTGAACAAGTGTGGAAAACCGCGTTATCATCAAGAGTCATTTTAACACGTAGAATATTGGACCTATTTCGCTTGTCTCTCCGGCATCCACAACTTGATAAAATATTATACAATATAATTGAATTGTGCAAAATTTCTATACATAGTATGTTTATTACTATTAGGTACTTTAGACTGTTACTTTAATGTAAATATATTTATAGACTTGTGAATTTTGTACGAGTTTTATACATTTTTTTACTTTGGTAGCGCCGGCCAGCGCCGGTCACCGATGAATCGGTACTTGGACTTTCAGTGGCGCCGATCAGCGCCGATCAGCGCGCGGCCGATGACCGGCATGGCATTCAACGTGTTAATCAAGGTTTCCGCACGTCATTGTGCGCATAAAGCTGTTACTAAATTCGCTACCGGAAGGGTCCGCGACGCAGGTATACTTTCCTCCTGATCAGTGTGACGATTTTCTCGAGAGCTTCTTGCTCTAAGCGGATTTTTGCTCTTAATAACCAGTCGAGCGTTTATTCGTAGCACGTCCAGCTATTGTTGCGGTGCAAACACCGTTTCCAAATATATTCCATTCAGTGGTGAGCTTTGCTTTCTCCCGAGTGGTTGAGTAAATCCGAATGGCAATGGCCGTCGGCTACGAGCGACGGCACTTATCCCGAACGTAACGATCCCGCATGCTCCAACTACTACCGCGTCACGGACAGACTCTGCTCGTATCTATACGGTAGTGGCGGTTCGTAAATTCTTTTGTAACCAAAACTGAAGGTTGTACTCGACTTGTTCGCGGTGTTCGATTATTCCTTTTTTTCTCGGTCACGTGTTAGATAAAACTCACAGACTTTATAGATTTTGCGATCTGCCTACCAATCAATTCTTGACATTTCATTACTTGACGTTATTCTTCATATTGCTTGGCATTTCACATCCATGTCATATTATAATAATCTAATATAACACGAATATTACTGTGTTAAATTAAACCTGACGCGATTTAAGTCTTTGCAATCGTTGATCATAATTATATTCAACTATTAAGACAAACTTATATTAATAAAATCAATAAGATTGTATATTAATAAATTGTTTCATGTATTAAAAAATATTTAATATTCAACGTTAATCATCGTGACAACAAAAGATCTATCCAAATTAAAATTGTAAGGTGTAAAATTCTCTTGCATTTAAACGCGTGAATAAAACTTCTAAAAATTTCTCAGAACCTTAGTTGAAAACTGGATGTTTTTTGTTTTCAATCGTGTCTGATTCTAAAGCTACTTTCCACATTTAGTATTTCAATATTTTAGCTAATTATAAGAGAAAAGTCAAGTCCGGATTGATCAATTTATTTTTAAATAAAAGCAGAGTGCTTTTGGATCACCTGGAATTTACGCGTGAGATTTATTAAACTGGATATATAAAAATTATATCTTTACATTGCATAGGACCTCGTTCTTTTTACTGATTTTAATGATAAATCCTTAAATCTATATACACAGATTATATAGTAAAAATTATAAAACAACAACGTACCATCTTGTTGTATAGATTAATAGCGAGTCGATATCCGGTCGGCATCGGCGGCCTGTTCTACCCGTCGACGCTGCAGCATCTCCATCAGCAGCAACAGCAGCAGCATCAGCATCATTCGCGGCTGGCCGCCGCGGCCTCGTCCGCCCTCAGCAACGCCGTGCAGGTCGCCGGCCAATCGCCGGACATTGTCGACGCCGACGGCATCCGTGGCGTTTTACTCGGCGGTGCCGGCTGGCCGTTTCCATGGAGGCCGGCGCACGGCCTGCAGACGCTCGAGCATCCTTCGCCAAGCGACGTGGTCGGCACCCTCAGCCGCGTCAGTCCCGCGTCCGCATCTTTCCCGCAGCGAGGTGAGTTCGATTCCCTCCCTTTTACATCTCCCCCGCGTGCCCAGGCAGATCGAGACGGCTTATTATAAGGATAATCCAAGGGAAAACGCGCGCTACGCTCGGAAGGAGATGTTAACATTGTTTCGCAACTGCGGTCTAGAACACCGGCTTTCGTCGAATCAGACAGAAGTACGGTAATACGAAGAGTTTCTCTTTTTTCAGATTTTTTTATTAAGTGGAAAACCGAAACACAAAGAAACGTACGGCATATTTTATACCTGATGTGTTCTATGTATGTAATAGAATTTCTTTAATAGTTGTAATATAATTATAATTATTATAATAATTAAATTTATTTCACCAAAGAAGATTTTATTCATCTAAAACCCAAGAACGTGCTCTGAGGAAAATGAGTGTTTCCAATTATATAAAAATATTAACTTCTCTTTGCTTGATATAATAACGCAAAAATGTCTCAACTCGATTAACGCCAAAAATTTTTTGCGCTTTCGACCGAAGAAGCTTCCAAAATATGTCAGACATACCAAGATGCATAGACCAATATCTCGAGACGATTGAGACGTGGAACCGTTAACTCGTATAGATCGCGAAGAAAAGGCAAAGGAAAACGAGGGTTAACGTGGGGGGACCTCCGTAGATATACAGATATATTGTCTGCTTGCGCGTTATATAGACTCTGTGTGTCTCGTGTATCTATGTGTATATCTTCGCGTATACAACTACGCGTAAGGCTTCCACGGCTTCCATCACGACAAACCAACGTCGATCGCCTTACCCGACGATCGTTTTGCTTCTGCCACCTTGTCTAAGCACTTAGGCAGTTACCATTCCCACCTATGGACACACCTGCGAACGCTCGTCAGTCCCGACTTACAATACTAAATTCTTTAACGATACAATAATGATAATAACGATCATTTGGTTGCTATTGTGCGTTACTTTTGTTTATATAAGAACCATAGGCTGAAAATATGAAATTTTCGTTAAAAGCAATTTTATTAAAAATAAGCAAATATAATTAAAATAATAGTACAGAAAAATTGAGAGAAAACAAAGAAATATCTAAAGCTATATAAGAGTTCAACAGATTTTTGGATAAATCTTGTTTTAATGGTTATAATAATGATTCTCACTTTACGAACGAAAAAAGTTGAAAAGCATATATTTTTAAAAATATGTTCTCGATTGTATTCCCGGTATAACACAAATATCAAATTATTGATTATAAAAATGTATCGTATCTAGTTTCGTTTCGGCCGACTTTTTGTCTGTGCCACAACGATCATTTGTAGAGAGAAAGAATTAAACATCGTATACACATGCTAATAACATTTGGTCGCTAAAAATAAAACAATAAAATTATATTTATCCTCGATGGATTTGCGTACGTGAAATATCGCATGCCTAATTAAAGGTACAGTGACAAAGAAAATATTTGTAGGAAATGAATAAATCGTTGCGTGTTTTATTGTTTCCTTCGTGTTCTCATACATTGCAAAAGAGACACGGCGATATAACGGTATTTTATACAGATATACACGCATCGCAAATAATGTCATTGGATGATGCATCTGCATCGATAGCGGCATAGGGAATTCAATACGCAGCAATTATGTCAAAATGGATTAATAGAATATTAATTAGCATTCTATTAATTGATTAAATATTCAATATGGATAGAGAAATGTATAATGGCGATTTATACCGGAGCGCGCGTGAGAGAATTTGTAAATCCAAAGCGCTCCAGGCTGATTGACGTATACGGATCACATTTAAAAAGAAGAGCGATTAACGCGTTTACCTTTCTCTCGTTAACGGTTTGATTATATCGATAAATATACACACTATGTGTCTTTTATACTTCGCACACATTACAAATATCATTATTTGTTATATGATATTCTGATCTCCGCGGATTTTGCCGCCATTTATCCTGCGTTACTTGTTAAGAATAATCCCAGTTGAAGAATAATGATCCTCGCAAATAAAGATATCTTTGTTTCAGCAACACGAACAAAAAAAGATAATTAACAGAAAAATATAACTCTATGAGCAACTATTAATTCCGGGTAAAAAGTGTCTGGTAGCTTTTGATCGTAAGTAAAAATTAATGTATTGGAAAAGGAAAGCAATTTTAATTTTCTTTATTAATTTTTACATATATATAACGGTTTTGAGAGAAAATTCATATTTATTGAAATAACGATATAATAATATTAGTAATAATCGAAGCGAGAAAAGTTTCGAAAGATTCCAGAACAGCAGACACATGAAAAAATATTCAAAAATATATGCATATAAGTATGCATCTTGAAAAGAATATTATGAATAAAAAAGCTATAGGGTAATTGAAATCAATACACGTATATTTTCCTCTAGATGAGCTCGATGACGACAACGCCGATGACCGTCTGCACCGCGCGAGGAGTCCGTCAAGCGGCGACGAGGGGCACGACGACCTCGGTGAGGCTGATGACTGTGCGGATGCCGATGGCGAAGGCGAGTCCACGTCGACGAGTCTTCACGGCACTTCGATGGGCGGTGGTGGTGGTGGCGGCGGCGGCGGCGGCGGTGGTGGTGGTGGAGGAAACGGCAATAGTAACGGCCAGAACAACGTGCAGGTCGGCGTAGACGGTCGCGAGTCGAACAGCATAAAGCGCAAGAAGAAGACCAGGACGGTGTTCTCCAGGTCGCAGGTGTTCCAGTTGGAGAGCACGTTCGACATGAAGCGCTACCTCTCATCGTCGGAGCGCGCCGGCCTCGCCGCCTCGCTCAGGCTCACGGAGACCCAGGTGAAGATCTGGTTCCAGAACCGGCGAAACAAGTGGAAACGGCAGCTGGCCGCCGAGTTGGAGGCGGCGAACATGGCGCACGCTACCCAAAGGCTAGTCAGGGTACCGATCTTGTATCACGAGGCATCAGCCGGCACTGGCACTTCCGGCGGCGTGTCCGTGTCGGTGACGGCACCGGGACCCCCGGGACCCCCGGTGCCGTCCTCGGTAGGCGCGACCTCCGCCCTGTCGCACTCGGTCGGCGTCGGCGTCGGCGTGGGCGTCGGCGTTGGCGTCGGTGTCGGCGTCGGCACCTCGTGCGCGCCTACCACGGCGCAGCCCATCTTCTACTCCCATCACCATCAGCATCACCATCACCACCCGGCGGCGGCCCACGTGCAGGCGCACAGTCTCCTGTCCCACCAGGTGCACCCACAACCACCGCCTCCGCCTCCGCCGCCGCCCAACGGCCAACCACCGCGGACGTCCTCGCAATAACACCGTCCGACGACTTACGAGGGTAGCGTGCGGCTGCTGCGGGAGACGACGATCCTAAACAAGATGATCTCCGTGAACGACGCGACGGCGACGGCGAGGCCTTCCCGTCTGGACCGCGCCGTTTGGCTGATCGACGTTGACGAGTGAACGCACGCACAATAATCGGCACGGGCCTACGATCGTCCTGCGACATCCCCTGATCGATCCCGCGATACCACACGGATACGGCATGCGGCTGTCCCCTCGGCGGTAATTCGAGAACGTTGGAATTCGAAAATGGTTTTCTAAAATGCGGACTCACGACCGTAGGCGATGTGGATAAATGTGAGTATGCGCGAGAAATGTAGAGTTTTGATTCGCTTTTATATCTCAATTAATAAGAACGTAAGAAAGATCATCTCATACAATTTAACACTGAAATTGTATTTTATTTTGAAGTGAATAACACGTCTCAGTGATGATCACTTTACTGAAAAGATTTGCATAAGTGTAGAATATTTTTCTCCTATAATTATGTATTTATAATGGCTCTAAAGGAGCTGAATACAAATAAAATAATATACAGAAATATTTTACTTATGCAAATTTCAGTATAGCATAGTATTGCAACAATAAATAAAATTACGTTCTATTAGAATATAAACTCAATGAGTTGAAAAAACTCTACGTTTTCTGAACATAAACTTATACTCATGTCTATTCGCATCTTCTGTTATTTTCTAGGAATGGAAAGTATGATCTCTTGCAAATAATTTGGTAAAATTATTTTTGGCGCTTGATAAAAAGACTTTAAGTCAATTTGTTTATCTCGAAATAAATTATCAAAAAAATGTGCTAAGTTCATACAATATATATTCTATAGTAATCGCATTATCATAAAAATGACATTATTGCCGATTATTATGTTTAGCTAAAATTAGACAACATCCTACTTTTCAGTAGTTTATTTTATTGCTCCGGGAAAGACATTTTGACTTATATCTTGTTTTACCGAGCCGTAAAAATATTTGTGCTAGTCTGCGCAATTATGCGGAGAATTGAACTGTGATTATAATGATTTTGTGTCGCTTCCATGAGCCACGGGCGACGAAAGCTGGTCGCGAACTCGTACGGTTTCCCTTCCGGTTGGTCGCCTATATAATAATAGCGCATTGTTTCCTTGTTGCTCTCAGTTTATCTATGTATTATAACGAGATGCAAAATTTCACAGTATTTCGCAATCGATGGACGGAAATTAGGGATCTTTGTAGATAGTATATATAATATACATATATTGTAGAGAGCGATTCTCCGATTTTTTGCGCGTGAAGAAAAACGATTCGCGCGGATGAGAGAATGGAAATTTTTAAACCGTCCCTGACTGTGCGACGCCCGATATTTTAATTATGGAACCGTATCCGTTTCTCTGATCGTTTCCCCTGTAAATAGTCTTTGCGCGAAGTGTACATTCGTATTTGAAATTCCGTGCGCCGAGAGGGACGCGCTGTGAACCGGTGACCGGAAAATCTCCGCTAATATAATTCAGGGATTAAAATGTCGGTATAACTTCGGTGAGTTCAATTTTCGATGGACGAGAAACAGTGAGTCCTCATGCCAACATTGTCAACGTCGCGTTTCCATCATCGCGGATTACGCGCGGAGAAACGATTTCCGCGGGTCTACAGAAATTTGAACTCGCTGAAATTGCGCTGGTACCAATATTACCTGATGTAACCGGGGATTCGCTGTGGTTGTAAAATTGAACATTCACACACATGTATGACATATATACATAGACATGCAGCAAACAGACACAAACACACACATACACGTAAGACACAGGCAGGGTTCCTACGATATATTCCACCTGTTGTGATAAGTATCTAAACGAATAATTTTATTAAACGGAACGGTAGAGGTACGAAATATCGCCTCTTTCGCATTATATATATCACCTATCTATAGACGTCAATTAAGGAGAAGGTTCGCCGTACCGTGTTTTATACGGATATTTGTGATCCGGGATCTCAAATTATTGTACAGCCGATCGTTTCGTAATCGCTAAATAATGATCGTTGAACCATACAATACACGTCGTTCGAATTTCCTCTACTCAAGATCTATGTAGAGTTGATCTACTGGCGACCGTCGATCTCGTTTGCGAGGTAGTGGGCAAACGTTCCTAGATTCGATGACTACATTCGGCTGGATCGACGAACGATCGAATAAAAATACGAATACGTTTAAATTGCGCTTTTTTTTCTATCGCGACGCCCGTAAAGAGATAGCAGTGGAACAATGGAACGCGCATCGGCGACATTCACATAAAAATCCGAGGTCCGGGATTAAAATTAATTGTTGTGCGGCTTCACAAGAGGCCCCCGTAACTAGAAAAATTGACACATAGATAAAACACAATGTTCCGCTTTCGAAATAAAATCAACGAGAGATTCTTTGATGGAGTCGCCATTCGAACGGATCGGTAATAAAACCTATTGATTCACATTTACATCGCCGTCTGTAGATTATAATACTGTCTCGTAGATTATGAGATCGGGGATATGGTCAAAATTCATAGAGCGAGGAAGGCCACTGATTAAAAGAGGCTTATTTCGTTATAATATTTTACAGATTTCTAGATTTCTTACGGATGAATGTCAAAAAGAATGATATAGCGAGATAAATTTCGAAATAACAAATTAAAGATGTCAAAATCTTCTCTACGAAATCTCGGAATTTATAAGCGGAGATGCACATTCGTAGTCTAAACACCTTAAACGCAGAAAAGCATGTGACAATTATTAATTCACAGCCAATTTACGAGAAGCTTTTTCTTGGAGCAGTAAACCAGCGAACTGTGAGTAATATCAGCGAGACAGTACTTAAGGGAAAAGCTTAAATCAAATCATGCATAAATTATTTCCTACGGGTCCGATAAATCGCGCTTCAAAAATTTTACCTTTAAAATCATCAGCTGGAAATAGAACGATCAGAGCGATACTTCTCAGGGAAAAAAATATGCACAGATTTCCGGTAGATATTCTTAGATATTTACTGAACATTCGTCGCGATGCGTTTTGCACCGTATGATTATTCTTTGTCTCTTAGACAAGATTTTTTTTTGCATATCGGCAAATGTAAATAAAAAATGCAGGAATATTTATCGGACGCCTGTAGTTTATATAACGCGGCCTGTCGCTATGCAATCAAAAACGCATTTACAATTATTCGCGTACGCGTGGCTTTTCACGCCGCCATTCACTCACGCACTCGTCAAGTGCGTCACGCAGGCGGCACGCGTTGCTCCTCGCGTCCTTCGCCTAGAAACGGCGAAGCTGGCATGGCGACCACGAGGGAGGACCGACGTGACAATGCATCTACACCATCCACGTCCCGTATCCGCTGCATATGCAGCCGATACACACCGGGTATCCTGAGTAACGTAAGTACGTGCACTTCAATCAACGCTCTCGCGCCATCACATCTCGGTCTCTTTTCCAATTCCTGATCTATCCGAATCTGCCTTTTTAAATCCGTTTTATTCTCTCTCTCTCTTTCTTTCTCTCTTCTTTCTTTTCTTTATCTGCCTTTTGTCTCTCGTTCGATATCTCTCTCGATATTCGTCCTTCACGCTTCGTCACCTTCCTCGTCGCGATTCTACACGTCTTGTCTCGCTGCAGCCACAGTGCGGTGATTCTTCGTGGGTTGAACGGAATCGTCGGTATCGAAATGATGTTAGGGAGTTTTTGCAATACCGTCTTTCAGATACGGTAACCGTATTGTTTAGAATCTCTATCTATTTCCCTACAGTTGTTTTATGCGCGCTGTGTATTCTGTATGACCGAGCTCGCGTTGTGCAATCATCCATACTGAAGGCGGATATACGGGAGATACCGGGAGATATCTCTTCGATATTGAATGACTGAATATATTGCGGGACATTTCGATATCCAATAGATATCCGAGATATGATCACTACAGATATCTGTGTTGTATCCGTAGGAATGAATTTGCAGGAACGCGCATGGAAAATAATAAATTCTGATGAAATAAAATATATAAAGATTTATCAAACATTTATTAATTTTGTCTTTGCGCGACTAAGAACTTTATTTTACGACAGTATCTTTTTAGGCATGCGTAAAGAACATTATTACAATTTTTACGAGCTATTGCTTTTATATAAATAATTTACGTAACGAATTTTTTACATCTGTATAAAACTTTACAATAATAACAAGAGGATCGTAAAAGCGATGCTAAGTCATTCAAGCAACGAGATTTTCAAAGTTTGTGTAACATCATATAAGCCTGATCCATTTCCAAGATTGCGTCGAACCTAATGGCTTCGCAAAGTCGGCAGTACACAAAAATATATTTCGACAGATATATCGCATATTGGAGACCATCCGCAAACATTTTCGCAAGACTTTTGTTGTTCATACACGGAGAGCGAAAAACTATGTGTGTACCTACAACGCGTCGTTTTGTAAAAAAAAAAGAAGAAAAAAGCGACCGTCTCGTTATAGAAAAATATCGGAATTACGCGCACAGAGAGAGAGAGAGAGGTATGTATAAAATTCTAATAGATCGATTATCATCTAATGTTCCGAACTGTTGAATACCGATTATATACGAAATTAATAAGAAAGCTTCTATCATCAATTCATTATCGTTCATCAATATCGATAAACAGCGCGATTGATTTTCTCGAAGAAATTAAACAAATCTCAGTTTTTAAATTGTAACATGGCGTTTTAATAATTAACAATAATTTCCACATGAAAATAATATTAGAAAATATAATAGAATTAATAGAAGTATATAAAGATTGTATTATTATATTGAATTATTATTACTATTATTATTCATTTGCGAAAAGCAGGAACTGAAAATGAATGTTTAACAATTGATATGTTATATATTAATCGAGCGAAATAAAAACAAGCAAAAACTTCAACATTCTAAAATCCGAAATGCTATTAATTGGAAAAATGCTCACGGTAATATGTTATGCCGCTCGCGTTCGCTCGTTTAAAAATTATTTTATCGTATAATTTTAAGTGCGCGAGGAATGCTCCAGTTTCGTAATTTGTCTAAAGCTTATTATCTAAAGCTGCATTTTGATGCGTGACGTGTGCACCGATTAGCTTGTCCCTCGTCGTATTACCCCCCTTTTGAAGACAGATTTTCCGGTTTTAAAAGCAGATATCGAAATCGTGTTTGCCGAGGATCGAAAGTTCACCGGCTCATTGTCGCCGACAATCCGGAGTCGAGTTGCAGTTCTCTCGCGTCACCACGCCCCCCTTTACCGTATCGTGTCCCAGAGTAATTTAACACGTAAGGGGATGACAACGGACTCGAAACCCGCGTCCTTTTAAGGGCCCGTAAGTGATGATCGTGTTACAGCACTGAATTCACAAAATTTGCCAAGACCGATGAGTTTTTCTCATATTCTTCTCCTGTGTCGATTATAGTGGTTAATAGCGCTATCGAAAGCTCACAACTTTTGCAGAGACAATAGCGAAATAGCTTGCAAATTGCAAAATGATGATCGTCACCGATTAACTGAGCAAATTATATTGAGGATCTATTTTATTTTTGCAATTAATGTTAAAGTGAATCGGCCTCAACAGTTATAAACAGTTTTCAGATTATAATCTAATAAAGAAGATAGAAGAAAAAATAAAACTTTAATTTGTTACAATCTATTTCGAGGGAGTTAACTTTCAGAAAATCTCCATTACGTTAGACGTGTAAAGAAAAACATTCTACGCATTACATATACCTACAAAGAAAGCTACGTACGTTTATTATCATTTGTCTAATATTCCGCGGTATATATCTTCGAAAGTCATTAAATCGGTGATGAGTAATTACATGTCTCTCTTTAAATCACCGATATTACAGGGACAATCTTGTACTGCGTCATCCTCGAGATGCCATCCATTTTCATGCGTGACCCGAATTACCCCGATGAGATGCGGATTGATAAGGAATTAATTGTCGCGCCCACCCCACGGAAGGTCGTTTAATTTGCTCGCAACCACGTCGATCGGCTAATCGAGTTAATTACCGTGCGCAGGATAACACGGCGGTGACTTTGCGACAGCTGTAGCGACACGAAATAACGTAGATGACCCCGTCGCGTCGCAGATGACGTCTCTCTCTTCTTCGGAGTGCGAGGGTGAGCGCATGGTCGATTTATCGTGGCCCATTATCGCCGCCACGATCGTTCCGTGACCGTTATTACCTGCTCGCCCGTAAAGAGGACTCGTGGTCGGGATAATTACTCTAATGGAATAATTTTTTGGAAAAATCTATCGTCGATGCCGCGGGTGCGCACGACACGGCAACAACAAAGGCCACACCCCGAAGAACCGGCGTCCGCGATCCGAGGCTCGTTAACCGCACGTACACGACCTCCCGTAAAAGGGAACGATAAACGCAAGAATGAACGAATGTATCGACGATTATCATCGCGCTACTAATCGTCGGAGAGCGCAGCTCTCAAATTATATTTATGTGACCCTCTTGATCGAAGAACATTTCGCGTTTATCGATCAATCTTCAACTTTTATGAACAATTACAATTTTCAGCTTCTTTTAAAAATAAAAAAAGAAATCTATTATTTCTGAAAAAAATTACTTTTATTACCACACAAATCTTTTTATAGAAGGAATTCTTTTGTATATATATCAAATCCCTAAAATAATATTTTTATGTAGATACAATAACACAAAAAATTACTTATTGTTACATGCTGATAGGATATTTGACAAAAATGTGTTAATTTTTTTTAAATTACAATTATTAAGATTTGATTTTTTATGTTTCCACAGATCTTAAAATTTATTGTAGTAAATTTTTACTGACATTTTTACATATATACGGTAACAGAGGAGAACCAATGTCAGAATACGTTTTGTACCCCATTGGGACTCCGAGGGTTAGATTAATATTTATGATGCTCCGTAAAATGTATCCATGTTGAAAAGAAAACTTTTGTCCCGTGCATCCCTAATCGCCCCTCGCAATCTTGTGTTTTACTTTTTTACGGTAGTTCTTTACGCCAAATATAACGTTTTGAGATCACGTTATGCTCCTAAAAAGTCGATATATTTTCTGCAGAAATGTGAAAAAAAAACAGATCTGCTCTTCGTACCGAATCAGATTATGTTCTAAATGCCCAACGTACAAATGTACATTATTGCATGTGAATAAAATCAGTCGTTTTTACCTTCAAAAATATAATTATTTGAATCGCTAATATACACCGATACTTCACGGTATTTCACTTTCTGGCATCGAGTTGAACGTGTGCGGTTCTCAGCATTCGATCGAGACAGTTCTCGAAACCGACGATAGAACTCGTCTCGGGGTAGAAAATACGAGGCCTGACACGGCGACAAAGAGGGCGAAAGAAAGGGAGAAAGGGAGCAGGATGGAGAAAGAGCGAGAGAGAGAGAGAGAAAGAGAGAACGAGGAGAGAAGAAGAGAGAGAAGGAAAGAGAAAGAGAGAGTCAATGGGTATAAGCACTAAGCACGTAACTATAAAAGGAGCCGGGGGTTGCGAATCGTCGCTAGATTAAAAAGAGGCTCCCTTTTTCGCTTGCTCTTTTATGCCGATGCGCGCCGCGCCCCACACGCATCCCGTACGGCCTCCTCCTCCTCTCCTCTTCTTCCTCCTTCTCTTCGTCCTCGTCTGTAACGTTAACGTTACACGTGCGCTTACATGTGGGCACTACACGTACATTCGCACATTCACGCGCATCCGATATCTCGCGACCGTCCATCCGCTGGAAAAGCAATTCGATCTGGCGGCGCAAGTACGGTGGGTACAGCCACCCTCCTCTTACTCGCTCTATCTCCCTCTCTCTCGCTCCTTTTTATCTCTCCAGACCTGCTTAAGCGTCGGATTTCCTGATGCTGAATTCGACTTCACGATGTATGCCCACTCTCGCGTTTATCGGAAATGCGAATTGTGGCGAACGCGAGCGTAACGTTTGTCGAGGATACCAGCAACTACTTTGAATACGACTTGATTAAATCATATGAAATACTTGACGAATATTTTCAATCGAGATGTCGCTCCACTTGATATCAATTAATAATTTATCTGTCTATCTATGTACTTGACGCATCTTCCACTTTTAAGTAGTAAAATTTCTTTCAAATAAATCTCCGAAATAAAGTAGCTTCTTTTAAACTTGACTTTTGCGTCATCCTGTCTCAAAAAAATTGTAGATGGCATGTTAACAATTCGATTTCTCAATTAAATATTTAAAATTAAATATCTAGATATATAAATATATAAATTGCATAATTATTTTTGAAATGTTTAATCCGCGTGAACCATTCCATCCAGCTGTAACCATTCTGAATTAATTTAAAATGTAACACATGCTATACACGTTAGCACGAGTATTTTTTGTGCGCACACGCAAGTTGCATTTAAATCTAATATATAGTCCTGTATCATAGAATGAATACTTATTGTTAAGAGAAACAATGATGATTAGAGTAAGTGCCCAACATCGTGGCACGCACATAATACCAGCAAACACACAATGCATGTCTATCCGCTTCTATTGCATACGCAAGGCTCACAATGCTCATATTACAATTAAGTACTACGGCTGATCGTATTACCATTCGGGTAATACACAAGGGCACAAGGATAAATGTGAATACTCAGGTACACTAACAATAAGCAGCAATCAGCTGTTGAGATAAGTTTCGTGATCGGAATTAGCATCACTAATGAACTATCTTCTTAACTTCCAAAAACTTTTTAATGCTCAATAATCTTATACGAATTATTTGTTTTTGTTAATTTTTAACTGAAATTCTTGTCAAACAATTTTTACTATAAAAAATGCATTTAATAACTAAACTGTGACAAAAAAAAATGTAATTTATCCGTCTCAAAGTCATTGCACTATAGCGCTTAATCAGCAGCTTTCGCTTCAAGTTTTCATCTTTGAACTGTCCGGTTCTCCGAGCCAAGCTCGAGTCATATGAATTATTATCATCGTTCGATTCTCGCTCGATCCCGTCGTCTTTATCCCGAAAACGAGAGAGAGAGAAAGAGAGAGAGAGAGAGAGAGAGAGAGAGAGAGAGAGAGAGAGAGATAAGTGAGTAAAAAAGAGAATGAGAGAGAAAGAGCGCTTGTACACGCGCGGATACAGGCCCATCGGTAAATGGATGGATGAATCTGAGCGAAAAAGGGTGCCTTTGAGCTGCCGAGTCCGTTGCTGCCAGATTAATTAACGAAGCACTCGCCCGGGGGCCGGAGGAGGATCAGCAGCAACTCCGTTATCAGGGTGGAGAGCTAATAGACAGATACCCCTGCCTACTTATCTATCAGTCCACCTCTCGATCAACCGCCTTCCCATCGAACGGCGAATGCCGCTACCATTCGCGTCAATCGTTAACTAATCGCTCGTGCTACTACCATCATCAATATATCACTTCAATC